TTGCTCTACTGAAAAAGTGTCTCCTCCATAATACAAGTCTGCAAGGACAACAATAAACAGTGTTTGTTACCATCAGCAATGGCTTAAGTTATCAACACAAATATTGTAGCCTTAGTACCAAATTACACTGAATGAATGACACCACTCATAATTGGAAAGATGATGAAAGTTTTGAAAAGACACAGTCGCCTAAAGTGAGGTCTTAATGTTATGATCATGGTAGTTTAGTTAGAAGCTTTATCAGTGTAATTATTCTAAACAATTCTATAAAAAGAAGGTTGTCTCTAAATGTGACCTAAAAACGTACCAAATAATAAGCCTTACACTCAGGTACATACCAAACCTTTGAGCACTGCTACACCCATGTATGACACAGACATGATTACTTCACGTATGATCCAAATGCTACACAACCTTTGGTCTTTGTTTACTAGCAGGTCCTCACCATAGTCTACCCTGGTTAATATACACTGCATGGGGTGCTCTGTTGTGTGTCTTGTTGTCGTGGCTCCGCTCTCGTAGCACGATGCGCACAGGTCGTAGTCGTAGCAAATTAAACACTTGAACCGTCTTCCTCTAAAGTTCCCTTTTAAACACGCGTCACAGCTCACACCTGCAGAAGCAAAAAAAAAAAAAAAAAAGAGAGACAGTGAAGTCAAAAATGTGGACCTTACATTACATATGCAAATTCCGTATGACTGCATCTGCTGAACTGTCTGCAACGTCTTTTCTGCAGGCCAGTCTCCCTTACAACAGCATGTGTTTTGGAGAGGCACCAACCCACAAGGGCCAGCAATGAAGAACTCTGACATTCCAACAAACTTCACAAGCAAGGTCTCAAAGAAGCAACTCAGAGGTAACATCAGAAGATATGAAAGCTACTACAGAATTTGTTGCTCTTTATAACCCTGCGCACACATTTTCAAGTAGTCTTATTTCTAGTCAACATGAACCAAAACAGTATAAAAATAAATTTAAAAAAGACAATGAAGAGAATCAATTTGTATTTCATCCTAACGTGTTCATTCTATAAGAAGCAATCATGTAAAATATGTATGTATCTCTGCTTTTCCACTTTTTACTACATGATTACAGGGGAATCTATCAATGCAAGAACTATTCAGGCTCACCGTTTTTTTTGCTATGAGCAAAGTTATCATGAGAAACAATATAACAACTCCTGCCTGCTGACATTTCCTTTGAAGGGAAAAGAGCACCTTCTTTGGCAAACAAGTATTGGGGGAATTTCTTCTGCACAGAGTAATCTGACGTCTTAGAATACAAAGCATCAAACACAAAGAGAAAAACTACTCAAAATGTGACATTAATTAACCAACCTCAGGCCTGAGTAAAAAAAACAACAACTAGTAGTTATCAGCTCTATGTGCTGATTAAAGGTTGGTCACAGTAAACACAGGTTCTAGTATCACCTGAGTAGTATATGAAACTAGTGCCTTCCTTGTGTGAACATACAACAAATTTACACAATGTGTCTCAAATACTTTTTTTTTTAAAAACAAAACACTATGCTGTCCTACTTTTAAAAAGTAAATCTAATAACTGAACAACTCCCTTTAGTCATGTAAAATCTATCTGATTTAAATGTGTTCAACACTGACACCACAGAAGTCACTTATCATGCAATAAAACTAAGATAACTTAATGTTAATGCTTCATGGTGCTTGAAATGAACCAAATGTAAGATAAAGATATACTTTATTCATCCCAGCAAGAAGGGAAATTTAGGTGTTCCAGCAGCCAGCATGCATACAAACACACAACACAACACATGTATACATACATATCCCACCCATAAAACAAAACAAACATGAGCCCACAATACAGTTTTGATATATGATCACATGCAACTCAGGTTAAAGTCCCATCTGCTTTGCAGTTAACAAATCGTAGCTCAACCCTGGCTAGCTGGTAGTAGCCTGCAAGCTATCAAACTTGGTGACTGGGTTTCTGGTCAAAAAGGCCTCACACACTTTCTGTCTCCTTCTTCTTCTTGATGACAGTGCACAACATTATGTGACCAGACGGGACAGTGTGGCGTTTTGTTTTATACATCTCACACCTAACAGGTAAACCGCGACTGTAATAGTGTGAGGTGACACCGGCTGTATTAAAAGAGGAGGGGGGAGAGGTGGAGGAGAGGTGGAGGAGGGATATCATACAGTGTGCAGCTTTTTAGTGCGGGTTGTGTCCCAACATTGAAGTCGCAGCTCGACTCCTTACGTTAGCATCACGTTAGCATCACGTTAGCATCGCGTTAGCCTCGCGCTAACGTAAGGTAACGCAGCACCTTAGCAGCGGCGGCTAACTGCTAATGTTGCCGTATCATCGCGGACGAAGTTACAACCGTGTGGCTCACGTTAGAAGACACGGGAGGTTAAATCACACACGAGGGGCTGCCGATGAACATGTATGTTTTGGTTAAGATCCTAAAACAAGCCGCAAAAAAGCGCTGCACCCCCCCTCCTCCTCTCCCCTCTCTCCCTCCTTAAGCACTTAGCAGAGCTAGCTTAGCTGCTCAGGTAATGTAGCCACCAAAAACCCCAAGGTGCTGTTTGGACCTGTTTTTCTACTCACCCTCATGTCGGGACATCCTACAAACAGAGCCCCCCCGTTCCTCGGGCTCCCCAACGCGATTAATAGAGGGGAGCGGCGCAGTCTTTTGGACACTAAACTGTAGAGGGGGGGGGGGAAATAAGCTTCGACCCTCGCCTCTTTTTTCGAGCAAGATGGATCCGCCAGCAGCTTACAGTTTGTTCTGCTTCCCCTCCCAGAGTGTCACTTCTCGCTAAGTATCGCGAGTGGACGCTAGGCGGCGCACTCCTACATGAAATCACCTCATGGGCTTTTGGGAATTACTAACCCCTCATTTCTGCCTCGCAGGACTCTCGCCTCCAACAATAAGCCGAGTTTAAAAAAATATATATTATCATTATCATTATTTAAATCAGTGGATAATTTAATCTGAATTATAGTATTATTAAATAAAATTAGTTTACAGCGGAACAAATACATCAGATGTCCTATGAATATAGATAGATAGGATAGGATAGGATAATACTTTATTGATCCCCAGAGGGGAAATTCGGGCGTTACAGCAGCACAGAGAAGAAAGCTCAAAAATACACATTAAACAGAATAGATAAGATAAATAAAAATAAATAAATAAATAAAAACAGGGGGTATATACAGTACAAAATGAATGATGAGGTTAACTGGGGGTAATTGAGAATTGAGACAGTATTTGCAGAGAATGGCGAGATAAAGTGACAAGTGATGACTTGGTATGATAAATAGCAACAAGTTATGTAAAAACAGCAGAGATACTTTATTGATCCCGAGGGAAATTCAAAGCATCCAGTTTGCAGGTTACAAGACGTCACATGACATGAAATATTTGTTACATATTAAACCGCAAAACCGACCATACATATATATTAACCCGAAAACAGATTTAAAGAATACCCCTAGATCAGGGATGGGCAACTTTGGTCACAGCAAGGGCCACATTCATTTAATTCTCACTGCCAGAGGGCCAAATTGTAGGATACAAAAACGATAACAGTCAATAATGTCTCATATTTAACTCAACATATACCAGTGATCAAATATTATTATGGAAATATTCCTGGTTTTTTATAATTTCATGGCAGAGTTTGTCATGTTTTTCTTCATGTTTTGATATATAAAAATTGACCTGAGGGCCACATTAAGGGTTGACGAGGGCCGGATGTGGCCCCCGGGCCGCCAGTTGCCCACCCATGCCCTAGATGAAACAAACTTAAACTGTGCAATTAAAAATAGATTTATACAAGAATTGTACATAACCCGTGCAGGGATAAAAAATATATGTGTAATTTAAAGCAAGAACCTATAAAAAGTTGAGGGAAAAAAAATCTGTAATTAGACCTGAATATACAAAAATAAAGAAGTGTTGACCTTCTGAAGTTGTGTTGTTTATATATGTACAGCAATGTTTAAAAAAGCAGATAGTGCAGAGTTATCAAAACAAACATTAAATTAAAGGTGCTATTTAAGTATACATTTTATATAAATACAAACGAAGAGTTGTACAATATGCTACACAACCACTATGAGAAAGTTTACTAAGGCCTAGTTTAAAATAATCATAAATACGTCTTTCAAACATATTCTTGCTGCAGGAACCAAGTTGTCCTTTCCACTTTTCAAAGGTATTCTAAAAATGTTTTAAATTGACCTTAACAAGCAAATGTAATATCCATCTATCCACCCATCTAGAAAACATAAATCTGTTTTCTACAATTCTACAATTCTACAATTCACTTAGCAGACGCTTTTATCCAAAGCGACGTACATCAGAGAGTAAATACAACACAAGCAAGGATCTAGAAAAAAGGGAACAATGTCAGTAAGAGCAAACGATCAGCTTTGAGTCTGATTGGACACACAGGTGCTGACAGGAAGTGACCAGAGGCAAAGCACAACATTGACAGCAGTTCTTGAGAGCTCTCATCAGTATAGAAACCATCTTATAAGTCATCGTTATCAAACAAAAACAATCATCACAACCATCATCATCATCATCAATGATATCAACACCATCATCATTAAGTTAGTAGGTATTCATGAAAAAGCTGGGTCTTTAGCTTTTTCTTAAAGGTGCAGAGGGACTCTGCAGATCGAATGGAGTTTGGAAGTTCATTCCACCACCGGGGGGCGACAGAGGAGAAGAGTCTAGTCAGCGTCTGAGGACCCTGTTGTGAAGGTCGGATCAGACGCCTTTCATTGGCAGAGCGTAGTGGGCGGGAGGGAGTGAAGACCTGATGAGAGAGTTAAAGTAAGGAGGAGCCGTTTTTGTGGCTCTTTTGTAAGCGAGCAGCAGAGTTTTAAATTTGATGCGAGCAGTAACTGGGAGCCAGTGTAAGGAGATGAACAGCGGAGTGACATGTGCTCTGTTTTATATTCAATATTGTGTTAAACAAAAGGAGAATAATAGAAGATATTTGTAAAAAGTTTTTATTTTTGTACTTAGGATTCAGTTCATCTCTGTGCTGATGAGGACGCATTACAGTCTGACAAACCAGTGCATTACAATGAAGACTTCACAGCAGTGTAGAAGGCTGGGGTAGAGCTCAAATATCTCACTTTGTACTTTTTACCCATGCTCACAAGTTATCAACAGATTGGTAACATCTGAGGACCACCTCAAGTGAGCAAAGTGAGACCCATGACTCCACCCTGGTGCATAAGACTGATGTAGCCCTATTATCTTAAAAAGACTCAGTTACACATTCTGTACATACAATCTATTACATGTGCTTCTTGTCAACAGTGGAGAGTGTGAGCTAAGGGGTATTTAAGAATCAAAAGCGGCCTCCTCTTCTTCTCTCTGAGCTTTTTCGGGGCAGAGGCACGGCCTCCTCAATATACAATATAATCTCTTTTAACATATTGTGTAGCTGTGCAACTTCATCAACAAGACAGAGACAGAAACACAGAAGATAACTTTGTAGGTGTTGACATCGAGCTTTGACAGAGTTCATTGTTTGCTACGTCTTTGTGTTAAATTTTGTAGCTTGTCTAGACAACAAACCACATACCAATATATCATATTCTCTACATGGCAACTGCTGGTGAATGGTGACACATATTTCTACAGTGGAAGAAGTTGTACCTCCCTTTTCCGAATTAAAAGTTTGATTCAAAATATACTACAGTATTATCTCATCTAAATCATGTAAAAGACGGAAAGCACAGTCAAACATCACTTTCAATGAAAACAAACTAAAGTAGTGGATACAAACCCTCATCTTCATGTATAATTGCAGTTTTCTGTTCAAAATATAACAATATTTACACATTTGTATCAGCTTTGAAATTGTGAGATGGGCCAGATATTTTTTGTATGTATCAAATGTTAATGTCATCATTCATGATACTCGTAGCACCTGAGCAAAAATCATCTTCTGCAACCATTGATCACACAAAAACAACCAATGACAACATCTTTTAAATTACAGGAAAATAGCAAAAACAATTATGTACATTTTTTTTTAAAGCTTTACATTATTGAGGATTTACTAATATTTACAGTACAATCAGAGTTTGGGATGTTGAAGGCGCAGCGTTCTTTAACCAGACCTCATCACAAACATTTAACATCCAAGTTGGGACAATTTTTTTTTGTTTGTTGATGGTTATCTTATTTTGAAAGTATAAAAAAATATAAGCATACAGACCGCACCTTCATCTAAATCTCAGGTCAGTGTCTTTAGTCAACATGGAGAGAGTCGGGATGTGCCACGTTATATTGTTAAAATACCAAAACAAAAAGTAAATGGTATAAAATGCTAAAAGGTTCAGTGTTCTTCAAAACTAATCAGCACATAATACGAGAGTCTACTCTATCAAACAGACTACACATTTCAAGTTCACATATTGTGTGTTGCACAAGGGAATATGCCATTTTACACTGTTGCTGTAAAGACATCGAAAGTGTGTGAGGTTGCATACACTGAAAAACCTGAGTTCTTTTTCCTCTAAAGCTTGAGTGCAGATGTTGTAGCTCTGAAGGTTTTTGTTTGTCTGCTGTATGTAATACAGATAAATGCTTCTATGCCAACAGATGCCTGCTAAGTAATGAGTTCTTCATCTTCCTAAACAGCGGGACCTGATGTTATATCTACTGTATACCTGCAAGAAGCATTCCTAGAAAAAATAGTATTTGCAAATATTCCACATAAAGTAATACTTTGTATAATTAAAAGAGACTGTCCATTAAAGCGCTCTCTTTTTTTGAGACTTCCTTTCAAGCCAGCGTGTTGTAGCCTGATGCTAATCAAAGAACAATTTGTAGGTTTGAAAGTATTTGCAAACATTATTCGACCCGTGCCTTTATTGGAAACAGTGAACGGTATCTGTATTTTCTAAGACGTCAAGTTTCTTCTGCTTGCTGCTGGATTCCTCAGTCCATCATGTCCTCCTTCGAGTAGTCCCTGGATTTTCTCTTGAAGAAGCCCATCTGGAGGAGCAGAAAGCTTAGTTACAAAACGAATGATCAAAACAGTTAACTGATGTGAATGACTGTTTTTTAGTAAAAGTATAGTTTACTCAGTGATACTATACAATACAATAAAACATCATGTAATACGATACAATAAGGAACAATGAGCTATATGTTACAACACAGTCCGCTACAATATAATAACCAACATGATACATTATGAATTGCTATGATACGGTATGATCAAGCCTGAGTGACGTCACCCAGCTGTTACTGCAGGGGCTCCGTAAGGCTCATGGGCAGCCGCCGCCGCCAAGCTGGAAATGCTGTTTCAGTCAACCTAACGACAGGCTTAGAGCCGAAGCTGAGGCGGGTATTAAACCTCTTGACGAACCGTTACATCGCTCCGACCTGTCAATCATGTTAGCTACGTGCCTAATTATGGATAACACGTGTCGTTTTCAAATCAAAAGCCAGCCTCAAGCGGACACTCGAGGAACTGCAGGATTTTGCTTCTCCTCACTGGCTTCATTTAGTGAAATTTATCTTTGACTCCACAGTAGTTCTAAACATCTAAATACAATAAAAACGAACAAAAACCCACAAGCAAACAATAGTTTTACATCTGTTGCAAGCATCTGTTGCAAGCTTGAACTCTGTAGAGGAGGTGGGTGAGAGGAGGATGTTAGTGAAGCTGACATCCATCATGGACAACCCCTCTCACCCCCTGCATGACACTGTGGGGGTCCTGAGCAGCTCCTTCAGCAGCAGACTGAGACACCCACCCTGCAAGACAGAGCGCTACCGCAGGTCGTTCATCCCATCTGCCGTCAGACTGTTTAATCAGACTGTTTAACAGCATCACCACCTCATGCTACACACTGTGTGTGTTTTTTTAATAACAAGTTGCTGTGTAATTTTACTTTTACATTATTGTATTTTTTATTTTATTTAAATGATGTAAATATGTTTGATCTGTTTTTAACTTCTATTTTTATTTTTTATAAGTATATTCCCGTCCCCTGTTTTCTGGAGCTGCTGTAATGCACAAATTTCCCCCACGGGGGATCAATAAAGTTTATCTTTATCTATCTTTATCTTTATCTTCTGAAAACATGGAGATTGATACCACTCTCACCACAAACTTTAAGGAATGATTAGCAGCTAGTTAGCTTAGCATCAAGACTTGGGACAGGAAGATACATTAAGTCTCTAATGTAATTCAAAAAGCAAAATCAATCTGCACCTCTGATGCCAGCTGATAAATATGTTATATATCTGAAGTATAATTTGATTTTTTTGATTTTTTACAGCAGTTTACTGTATCTATTTTTTTTATCTATATCTTCATCTGTTTTTCAATTTAAATCTTCTCAGATTCCATATTTAAAAAAAAAAAAACTAATAAAATATGGCAAGGTATTCAAAGATCTGAAATTCTCTGCGTTAGGAAATATTACCTTCCAAAGGGCAAAGATGACAAGTGCTAAGATCAGCAGTCCAATCAAAATGCTGATGATGATGATCCATATAGGGATTCCTCCTAAAGTCTCCTTCGAAACCTGGATCTTCACCTAATAAGCACACAGATACATGTGATGAATGTTAACATACACAGATACATTCAATACAAAAAAGAACCATACAACCCCTCAAACTTTATGACTTACACTTCTGCTCCTGTCGCTGCTGCTCAGTTCAAACAGGTCAGCGTCTCTGGCTCCTAACGTGGCGTTCACCAACATATGCAGACTGGAAAACTCGCCCTGTAAGAAGAAACAACTGTCACTTTTACATCCTCGTCTGTTAGTTTTTCAGTCGTCCTCTCACTTATTTACTTCTTTAACATATTCCCATCTGTGAAAAATCAAATAACACAAGGGGGAACCATCTCAATCATGCGTCACCTTAAACCTACCTTGATGAATGTAGGTTTCCACACTCGGAAGGTGACGTTGACCTGTCCATATGTAGCCTCAGGGATAAGGCAGCTAAAAGATGCACAGAAGTGGTTTTCACAGCTCTGTAGAGAAAATGAACACGCATACATTTTTCATGAATTGGGCTCAGAAAAACTGATCTTAATGTGCAGAAGCCTGTCTTACATCAACTCAACAATTTAAGCTGGGATCTATATTTCATAAAGACAACACATTTTTATTTATATCTTTTAAACTTTGGCTTGAAAACATCCAACTGATCACTTCAACTACCCCCCCATAGTTCATTTGAATTTAACTTCCATATTAAGTTCTTAAAATAAACTTTTTATGTGTTAGTTGCCAAAAATATTTCAGATTATGCAAAGGGAGTAATTTATATCTAAATGTATGTCATGGCTTGACTTCAACTGTTAAGAGAAATTTTGAAGAAAAAAGACCAGAAGTTGTTTAGTCTGAAGGTTTGCATGCTCACCTTAGTCAGATTAAATAAACCTTTACTGATAACCTTGAAAATGTCGCTTAATCACTGAATTCAGCCTGGTTTCATGAGTAGTCTGTCTGCATAAAGCAGCCCTCACTGCTTACCAATATATAAACACCGAGGCTTTCTTTCTTTGGGTCGGGTTTTATAACAGCCGGGGGAATCTTCAGAGGGTTGATCCAGCTATCTGCATCACATATCACCTGGAGAGGGAGAGAGGAAGGTATATGCAGGTTGGTCTGTCTGTTCTGATACAACTGCATGTCCACAGCTGTGTGTGTGTGTGTGTGTGTGTGTGTGTGTGTGTGTGTGTGTGTGTGTGTGTGTACCATACCCGTGGGCTGGGGCTGACGTTGGTCAGGTACAGTAAGTGGTTCTGATGAGGAGACAGATGAGGAAACGTCACTGTCAGGTAGAGGGGCGGAGTCTCCATTTCGCCTGACTTGTCCACCTGAAGAGACGTGTGAGATGGAGAGTGAAACTTTAATCACATCCCCATCTGCATACAGCTGTACACTGCATGTCTACATTAAGAAATCATCATGTGATTTCTGTCAGCAAATGTTACCGTGTAGCTGATGTTGACCTCCTCTCCGATCATCCAGGTTTCATTGATTTTGGCGGGGTACTGTTCCCCTTCTTTGACTAAAATGTGTTCATCCACAGGCCGACTAGAAGAAGAATTCAGACAAAAATTTGATTAGGTTTCACAGTTCTCAATCAGAGATCTATTTTAAAATTATGACCATGGAAACAAATGCTCTCTGTACCAATCAGGGGTGTGTCTAGCAGAGTGGCTAGGGGGTGGCATAGGCCCCCCCTTGAAATCGGATTGGCCCCCCCCCCGGCCACACGCAAAAATCAGAACTATGATTGGCTATTTGCTTTAACAGAGGCAAGACTTATTTCAAACTCAACTATTTAGGCTGTATTGCAGACATCACCCATCTGCTATTGGATATGATAATACTTTATTGATCTCCAGAGGGGAAATTTGGGCGTAGCAGCAGCACAGACAAGTAGAAAAAGGAAAATTGATGGATGTTTTGAAGCCCAACGATGGGAAATCATATCACAACCTAAATTTAATCATGAGTTAAAATGAGTTGTTCACGTGTATAGTTTTAACCGATAAAGAACTGAGATATTGAGATACGTTTGGACCGGGTTGTCAACATGTGGGCATTTTAAAATATTGGCTCCAACCGGAGTTTCCCAGCGTTTTGCGGCCAACCTCAAGTGGACCTGCAGTTTATTTGCACTTCCGGATTTGCGTCATTTTTTCAACATCCAAGGTTGCTGCGTTGTTGCAACAGAGTTTTGTGGCTTCGGAAAAAAAAAACAGCATAGAGTCAGATAAGTTGCCTCAAATGATGTCACTCGAGTCAACATTGGTAAAGGCTACAAGTTTGAAACTGAAAAAAAAAAAAATCCTGAAGAAAGACTTGCAGCTGCTGTTAGCATATGAAAGGCTCATCTCAAACTGTCTGCTGTAAGGTTGATATTTGGGTAATGCAGACGTCTACATTTCCTACCATGAAAGTGAAAATGTTTGTATATTGTATCAACTTTTTATGATGCAATGTGGTTACATTTTTTTAACCTCATCAGCTACTCACACTGAGAAAATGAGTCCAGCTTCATACTTGACAGGGATGGAGATTTGCACTGTGTTGTCATGTAGAGTGGAATCCAGCTCTTCACTGTCGCTGTGGGCAATATTGAGAAAATGAGGAAAACAGCTTCAAGCTGTAAAAAATGAAAAATGATCGTGCTAATTCTCTTACCTTGTAGCCGTCACGTTGATCTGAATTACTGCCTGAACATGCTTGGGATTGACCTCAAACTTAACTTTGAAATTTTCCTGTGAATATAAGATCAAATGGCATCTTCACTCAGCAGTAATAACAATAAACAAATACTGTATGTAGAACTCGCTGAAACTAACCTCTACATTGCTCCCCAAGAAGGGGTATCCAACAGCACACTCCACTTTGGTGTTATTCAGAGAGCACGTCTTCTCTGGCTGGTAAAACAAAATGAAACAAGCATCATCAAACATCACTTCTATCAACACAATCAATAAAAAAGATACAGACAGAGGAGTTCTAGAAAGCTCACCTCCACTTTGACATAATTAATGTTTGGTGTGAAGCTGAGGGTCACTTTAGTGTTGTATGCGTTGTCTTTGCTGTTTCTAACGTTGACGTTCACTTCAATTCTGTCTTTGATCGTTTTGATCATCATCCTGCAGAAGAAAAGGAAACGTGTCTGAATGCACATTTTCTCCCCACAAGGGGGCAGACATTCACTTGAAAGGTTTACTGCTCAGTGTGTCAAACTGCTGCAAGTTGTATGAACCTGACATTCAATAAATGTTACACCTTAAACATCTTTAGAATAAAAAAGCTATGACAGAGTCTGTCTTACAGCAATATGCAATAATATATATTATATTAAAGCGTTTGAAATTTGAGTCAATGTCGACTTACCTTTTTACACTTGGTTCAGCTTTGAGAGAGAGGTCAGCAATGCACCTCTGATTGCTGCCGCAGTCCACTAAAGGAATCTACAAGAGAGACAGAGAGGGGTTAAATTCCTCTCCAGATAAAAATGGATTCAACTTCGCTCGACTTCCCCATGAATGTTTGAGGAGGGAAAGTTTATCTTTTATTACCCTTATGTCTGAATGGATACATATGAGTACAATTTTAGGGCATAAAAACGTGTTTGTACAGTGCATCCCCTTCATCGACTGCCTTGCATTGTCCCCACTAAAGCAGTGGTGAGCTTAGTCAAAGTAGGGCCTGACAGATTTTTGTGGCTGATACCGATACCAATATTAGGGAGGGAAAAAAAAATCAGACATCGATAAATCGGCCGATATCTTTCTTCGATCTTTAGAGACAGATAGATATAGATATACACACATTTATTGTTTACAGATAAAGAGAAAAATATTTAAATCTTGAACTTTTTGTGGAGAAAATAGAAAGCATGAAGCTATTGCTCTAAGCAGAATATTGTAGTATACATTTACAATATTTCAGGTCCTTTTTCTGAACTACCGAAGGCCCTTTAGAGAAATAATCAGAGCAATGAGGATCTAAATATGCTGCTGCTGTTTATTTGTTTGTGACCACTTGCCGTTCTAAAGGTTGCATTCAGACGACCTTCATTTCCTTTCCCTTTCCCCCCCTCGAGTGTCTAAGGATCACAGTTGTATTCGGTCCCATTCTCGAGGCTCTCCCAGCAGACCGTTTAGATCAACAGTGTTTGTAAACTCTCCCAAGAAAGAGACTAGAATATCATGTGCAGCACAATGTCAGAAGAAAAACTGCAGCTTCCGCTCGATGACCTCCCCTTTCTCAGTGTGTGTGTGTGTGTGTGTCCATCTCTTCCTTTCAATAACAAAAACAGGAGAGGTGGTCACAACGCTTCCTCACGCCTGTGTGGAGGCTCATAAACACATCACATATGATCCTGTGTCTGAAAGAACCAGGAGGTGGTGTTATTTGTCCTGTGTGCGTTCACACGCTCTGGCTTTTATTGCATTCTTTCTGTTACGCGTTGCAGCTAAATTCTCATGAAGTATTTCACCTCTTTATCTATCACTCATTGAAACAATTATCTGGACAGCCTCTTGTTAGAACAACTATGCATGAGGGAGTGTGGGAATACTGTCCTGACTGTCAGTGTTGAAACAACCAATGCAGCCTTTTAGGAAACTCTGAAGGATGGCAGTCAGCTGTTGCGGATGCTAATGTGCTGGAACAGAAGTAGGTTTGGAGCCAGAAAACCTCAAATCCTCCCTGTCTGATTTTTTTTTTTTGGCAGTTAAGCGCTGAAAGAGACTATTCTAAGCGTATAGAAGTAGTCTTCTTACTGTCTTATTGATGGATCTGGGGAGGTTTTCATCCAGGACGGGGCCTTGGTCTTCATCAGCGAGTCCAAACTGCAAAGACACCATGAGAGGGTCTCGGAAGTCCAGCCGGGCCTGTCCAGGAAAAAAAAAAACAGGGAGAAAGTGAAAGATGAGGGTGGAGAACAAAGGATGGAGGAGGATTATGATGGAGGGAAATCAAGCAAAAATACATATCAGTGGTCTAGCAACAAACATGTGAACTTTCACTTATTTGGACCTCTGCTTAGGAGCATGTGGGCGTGACCAGACTTGTTTTTAAGTCTTATCAATAAATGAACACAATCAGGCTCCAAATGCGTCATCTGAAGGATGCACACCCTGCTACTGATTATTATTATGCATGTTGATACAGTGCAAGCACACTGGTGGAACAACAGAGAACCATTTTCATCATTGGAGTCAAACTACTTCCATGACTAAAAATGGTCAAATAAGCAATAATTAAAAAAAAAAAAAACTGTGTGGGTTTGCGGGGTCTTTTGGTGACTGAAACGTATCAAAAAACAGCTGACATGACAGAAGGGAGTGAATCATACGAGCATGGAAAGGCATACATGTTAGTCTCTCTTGAGCCTTCTCCAAATGTTGATTAAACTTGAGAAAGAGTTCAACATGAGGAACACATGGTGCATCTTTAGTGCATTAGGCTACAGTGCACACACAAACGGAGACTTAAACATGTTATCAAAGACTTTATGCTTTAAACAATAACGTGTTCTTATAGCTTTTATTGTGTGTGCACATTGCTTCAGCACACACTAAGAATTCTGCACTTCTGCCACATCTGCTTCTAGTTCATGCAGCTGCTGTTTCGGGTTTGTTCATACTTGGTCCACCTTGCATCCAGGTAATGTAGTTTGGAGGTGATTTCTGTGTCCCGTATGAGTTCATCTGACCTTTCAAAACCTCTGCCCTGGACTTTGTGGGAAGTTTCTGCCCAAACTGGCGCATTATTTAGAACAGAGCAGGTATTCATGCACAGCAACAGCAGCTGTTTTCACTGATTAGTTCCCCTCCAGCTCTCACCCAGGGGCAGCTAATCAGAGAAATCCATTGCTGCAGTAAACTGGGAAGTGTTGTACACATGTCTTTAAATGTCACATTGCTGGAGAAACCTCTTGGTTTGTTAAAGCAGTGAGTGTAGCTTTAAAGCACAAATGTTTTAAATTTGATGGACACCCTGTTACATGCTCGTTTGGCCACTTGTTGTAATATCCCTTGTCCCCAGATGTCATTTTTGTCATATTCTCCAAACACCTAATTCACTCTCATTCTCTTTATGCATTTTCTTTTTCTCTCCAAATCTCAGAGTGTCTGCAGATAATTTATCACAGCGAGCAGCACTGGGCTGAACTCGGCATGCTTTGATCAGAACGGGTCTGTTTCATGTTAGAAATGATGTCTTCCTGCTCTACAGAACACTGCTCACAGCTTTGTCCTGTCTCCTGTCTGACTCCAGACACTGTTTACACCCCCCAACAAGTCCTCAGTACAACGTTTTATGAATGAAGGTCACAGATTTCAAAGAGATCTAGTTAATCTGAACACTGTGCCTTGTGGATATGTGGTTAAAAATGTAGATTTGGGTTGAATTGTCACAGGTAAGAAAGCATAACTAACCCCATGTGTATGTCATAAACATCAGAATACTTGCCGACATCATGAAGGTTTCTTGCACACATTTTTTCTCTCTGTCTTTGATGGTGAATCTCCTGGTGATCCTTCGATCACTTTTATCGTCAGTGTTGATAAATGAAGCCCGAGCTTTCGCACGCAGAGCATCCAGAGTCAGATCATAGCGGATTTCTGCAGGACACAACAGATAACAAAAGCTGTAGTTTAAAAAAAACATCCGTGACAGTGTGGCGGAAGGGGGAAAAAAAGCTTAATCTTGGAGGAGGATTTGCTCACCTGCTGCAGATTTTGAGTCTTGCTGGTCGGATTTGATGCTGTACGTGAAACACACCTCAGTTTTCACGCACACAGATTTGCGTCCTCCGTGTTCGCACTGAAACTGCGCCTGCTGCAGGTTGATTTTGACAGGGTCAAAAGTCATGTTGGCACGGAGCTCTGCAACATCTCTGGACCTGGTAAAAAAAAAAAGAAACAAACACTGCTAATTTGTGCAATATGTGACTTTGTGTTTTGAACAAGATATGGATGCATCTGAAGTATGTAACTTGGCCTCAACTCTTTCTATTCAGAAACACCAGCCAGCACTGCAGAACAACAGCCGCCTGCTGCCAAATCCTGTTTAAACTCTAAGCCACTTGGGAGTTGGAGTTTTCACACAGCTTAGCTGAGCCTCTGCCAGTAGAAACTGTGGGAGAAGGTCTGCCTGGGAAGTTAAATCATTCTGTGTGCTGATGTTTCAACACTTTGTGGGTTGAAGCTTGTAGGCCAGTATCCAACAGTGAGGTACAGATCCAGAGGTTTAAACAGAGAGATCATTAGGAAGCTGTTGGTCTCCAGCCTACAAGCCCAGTGGGACTTAAACAGCTGTCCAAACCCGAGAAACACAATGCAAAACGGACATGTAGGACGATGTCTGCAGGATACGGGGCACTGCTGCTTATAACGTTGAAGTAGAAAGTGTAGTTTATGGGGCGCTGGTGGCGCAGTGGTTGGTGTGCGCGCCCCATGTATGGAGGCTATAGTCTTCCAAGCGGGCGGCCCGAGTCCGACCTGTGGCTCCTTTCCTGCATGTCATTCCCCACTCTCTCTCCCTGATTTCCGACTCGATCCACTGTTGTATCCCTCCATAAAAAGGCACAAAAAGCCCCAAAAAATAAATCTTTAAAAAAAGAAAGCGTAGTTTATGAGTGAATTTTTATGAGGTCTGATGGTCCCTGTCTCACCAGAATAGTGAAGCCCCGCCCAGACCGCCAATGGTAACATCAGTGATGCCATCTCCATTAAGATCCATGACTCCGTGTATGGACTGACCGAAGAATTTCACCTTCACACCATCACCTCCTGCAGGGATGCGCTGGAGAAACAAGACAGAACCAAGAGAGCACACTTAAATAAAGGTAGAGGAATTTGTATTTTACTTGGGTATTCAAATATTGACCCAAATAGGGTGGCACGAGAACTTGGCTTACCTGTACGTATTTCTCTTTCAGTGACGTCTTTTCTCCGTGGTAGATGTAGACGGCCCCTCGGTGGTCGTTCTCAAGAGGCGCCCCGATGGCCACGTCATTGAACCCGTCAAGGTTGAGATCTGTTACGGCTGCGATGGCTGTGCCAAACCGGGCACCACATGGCTCGTTTATATTAGAGCAGCTAGCTGAACGGGCCGTACAACAGGACTGATTGACGGGCTTTAGAGTGAACTCGTGCTCAAACTGGCCGACCTGGTGAAGGAGCATTCAGAAAAACAGAGACACAAAAGAGATTGCAACCATTGTGAGAACTTTTGTGGAAAAACTTCCGCAGGCTGTCTCTTTTAAAGACTCACAAAACGTATGATTTTCAATCTTCCATACCTGGTTGAGTTTGTAGACGTAGACTTGACCCTGCTCATCTCTTTCTTTGCCCATGAACATTGGAGCGCCAACCAAAAGGAGATCTGTGTTGGAGTCTCCATCCACATCAACAGTCTGCAGAACGCTGCCAAAGTAGGAGCCAATCTGCACAGAGGAACCAGAAATCATGTGAGTTTAAACCCTGTCAGAAATTCATTTTTTTTTTTATCTGCTTCTGACCTCCATGCACTCATGTTGAGCAACGTCATTTTAGAGATACTAACCCTTTCTCTTGATGAAGCTAAGCTAAGTGTTTTCACAGCAGGAACTATAACCAAGTACTAGGGAATTACATTACATTACATTTCCCCATGCATGGAGCTGTGTCTGAATTAAGCCACAGGAACTTTATTTTGCCCCCTATTCTGCCAAAAAACATTTGAAACTATTTGTCCTTAAGTACCATGTTTTGTAATTTTTGGTGTTTGACGCAAAGGCAGACTGTGACTGCTTCACTTCAAAAACTGAAGTTCCTCGAGTGTCCACTTGAGGCTAGCTGCAGAAGTCAAGAAATCCCCATATGCTATTTCTAAAGCAGGCGGGTAGTTGCATATGAGGGTAGTTAAAGCAGTTGGTTGTATAGAAAAAGCCACTCTTAAATACTTAAAATATTTGAGATAATTTCTAAACATGTTCTTATTTTATTTTATCCCATAGGACTATACAAAACAATATTTTTGACAAAGCTTGAGGAGTTATCGCCTTATGTTATGTTGCCTCTTCCCATTCCTCCACGACCCCGACCCCTTGATGTTTACAGCCCGATTCAATCAACAAATTTTGTATCAATAACTTATTTCTTTCATGGGAACTCAACCTTTTAGAGCGTGGCTGAGTTGGTGGATGGTTTGTAGCCGTTAAAGCCGGCCTCAGCTCAATCTCTTTGCTTATTGTTTTAGCATTTCCAACATGGCGACTGCCTTCTCTGGGCTTCAAAACACCTCTCCAGAAACCAATGGGTGATGTCAATGAAACTACGTCCATGTTGTATACAGTCTATGGTGTAAACTCTGTAAAATGTTAAACTGTAAAACAGTTGTGGATGTCAAGAAGTTATCAGACTAATGTATATTATCTTCTCTGGTCTTAAGACCTCTGGGAAAATGCTGACAACAATGTGTTGAAAGAATATTTTAGTTCCTTAAAAAGTAGCTTGAAAAAGCTCTACTAAAAAGTCCAGGAGGTTTCGTTGGAAACGTGTCTTTATCTTATCTTACATCAGCAAGTTGGACATTAGACCATGTGTTATCTTCACACAAGAGTGGAAACCTGTAGTATCCATCTCTCTGCACAAATACATATTGTAGAGGAAACAGACACTTTCTCACCTGTTCTCCTTTCAGTATCTGTGAGACGACAACATTGTTGTTTTTATTCAGTCGGTAGATAACGACGCGGCCTGTGTGGTTGTACCGAGGTGCACCTGAGATATAGAGCACTCCATCCGGGGTGGAGGCTGACTGGACATCATAGCCTGTAGTGAAAACATACTGGATTCAATACATACATGAGCAAAACATGATCAGGAATGTGTCACACAATATATGAACATAACAATGCCAAGAGAAAAAAACACTCTGACACTCTCTGTGGGATATTTTTGAATGCTCTTGTTTACATCTCACTGTGTCAAGGGAACTATAAAACACTGCTACAGGAAAAAAACACAAATGTGCATACACACACACTTACACAGAGGCTATCTATGCAGTAAGACCTTTATGTACGAGCATGTGCCAACAGCTGAGTTTACGTTACGCGAGCCTGGAACTACCAGTCCTCTTACTTATGACATGTTGATTAAATAACTTCATATTAAGATGCTGCGGTTGCTCTGCGGGCCATAAAAGGCAGCGGGACGGAGAGAAGAGTCCACAATTATTATTTATGTGACAGAGAGAAAGAGACAAGAGAGGCATCTGCTGTCAGAGTCAGACAAATACATGACTTACAGTATTTATTCTGCAGCTGTGAAATGTCAATAAATCTCTTGAGAGATCAAAATGATCTCTATTTAACACAAACACACACTAGGCTCAGATAAAGTTTTAAATGTAAACGTAAAATCTGCTTAAAGTGTCTTTCAGTTGTATCTTATTCATCTCACCAATACATGTCATTTTTGTATTAGCGATGAAAGCTGCAGAAAACTAAAAGTAAAGGCTAAAAAAGCTGGGGCGGGGGTTGTCTATTTCAGATGTTTAATGCCTCAATACACATTTATTGGCTACCTTAAACATATGCATGTATAACAACGGCTACATACAATTTCCTTATTTTAATGTCCAACAGCAATGTAAAACGCTGTGCCATATCTTTAAAAGAGTTCTCCTGAAAACCTCTGTTTGAATGTACAGTATAAAAAGAGACTAGGATCTGTATATATCCACTTCTTATATACTTTTTATATAAGATTCGTATACTACATCCATACTCCACACAGGATCCCATCACTCAATTAATAAACAGCATGAGTGAGAACGTTTTGGATCTGACGAGATCTGATCTCAACTCACCGAGGTATCCAGCGAGTCCTTCGTACCCCGCCTCAGTCTCTGCGTCGTAGAAATCTAAATTCCCTGGGACGATTGTTCGCTCAGCAGTTTGCATCACCACTGTCCCATTCCAGTCATACGCTCCCACTGCTCCCAGTAACACTCCGTCCTACAGGTGACAACATGGATGTTGGATAAAACATTAGATATTTATAAGACGATTGATTTCTTTATCATTAGTTAGTGATTTTACTTGTAATGTTGTCTGGAGACCGTGCTGGAAGAAGTATTAGGAGCCTTCACTCAAGCAAAAGTAGTTATAAACCCATAGCTCTTCATTTTAAGTTAAAATATTGCTCAAGAAGTTTTACTCAAGTAAAAGTACAGATACATGTACTTAGAGTGTTTGTGTTAAGGGTTTACAAGTTTTAAAATTTTTGATTATTTCCCATAATTATAAATGTTGTTAAATGTTATAATTACTGATTCACATGAAAGAAGCCAACAGTTTAGATTTTTTATGTATTGTTGAGTGAATATCACTTTGAATAATGTGTTTCCCTTTTGGGTGGATTCTTCTACAGACATTATATTGTAGAGGTTGGACATACTGTACGTTTGTGTCTAAAATCAGAACTTGCTCTAAAAAGAAGGTGGAAAAAAAAGGTTCAATTTATTTCTTTTCACGTGAAGCGGAGACGAGGTATAAAGCAAAGCAAAATGTAAACACTGATTAAAACAGGAAGTTGGATTTACTGTAAATATAGTGCTGAAGTAAACATATTTTATTCTAAATACAACTAGTCCTGAAAGATTTTGTCAATGAATCATTCACATTGAAAGCTAATGTAAAACTATTTAATTAACCAATCAATCAAAGTGAAATTTAAACTTTCAAGTTATAAAAACAAATAGTGACATTTTTCAGTTCTTTGTTGACTTAGAGAAAACCGAGAAATAGGAGAGAAAAATCCACAGATTCACAGTTTATTAAATAATTATGTGCGGCTGTAAGTTTTACAACACAACAGATGAAGACCAATAAAAAAGATATCTAAATCAATCTTTTTTTAAATGGGAGGAAACAGAGTTATCTAACAGGAAGGGGAGGGGTCACAGGACATTCTGTGTGTAATTATTCTCAATGCATCAGCGGGCTCTCTCCCTCCGCTGACCATTAAGACGAGGCCTCACGTGTTGAGCACACAGGGGAAGAACTCTTTTTATCTGTGTCTGGTTTTATGAAGTTGAATGAGCCACCGCATCTGCAGAGACAGTGTACACAGGGTACACAGTGATGGAAGAGGTGATAAACGTGAGTCAGGAGCAGGAAGAGAGGCGTAAGAGGGGCGCTTGTTTGTTCTAAAATAGATATAGGAAATACCTAATGAATGAACACAAGGGGCAAACGCAAAAATGTTATTTTTACCCCAGTGAGCAAACATCTGATTCAACCTTGGCTCTTGGACGTGCCCCTTATTTGGCTTTGGGCCTCTATCTCTGTCTGTCTGTACACACTCTCATGCAATCAGACCAGACACGATCTGTCTGAAGTCTGCAGCCAAAGGGACAGAGAGAGTCTGTGTGTGTCTGAAAACGTCTGCTGACCGAGGTGAATCACCAACGGCTTGAAGATGCACCAGAGATTGCACTGTGGCATTGTGTCTCGATGAGTTCATTAGCTGAGTAAACATTTTCACGCACAAGGAGTAAACTATTTATGTTCAGCTAAATGCCTGCAAGACATGTGAACCTTGATGTGATCTAAAGATATAAAAGACTTATCTCAACTCTTCCTGGTTTAGTGATTTAACAGCAAGTCAAGGGCTTTTGCAATAATGAGATTTATGTATTCCTGTGATGTAAATATGTGTGTATAAATTACATAAGGCAGACTTACTTTGGTAGCATGGGCACTAAATCCAGCTTGAGACATCTCCATCTCAAAGGAAGAGGTGAAATTGCCGGTTGTAGCTAAGGAAGGTAAAGATTCCTTTTTTTAGTTTTTTTATACACATAAATAGTACAAAATCAAACTTCTTCAGTAATGCCACACTTCTACTTAAAATACTTTCTTTCTTTAAGGAAATTATGTGATTCATTAACCTTTCTGGTTCAATTAAAAGACACGTATGCATGTACGTACAGGAAATAAGAGGCTACTGTCGCCTGTTAGCTTAGCCTAGCATAAAGGAGTAGCAGGGGAAAAGTTAGCATGGCTTTGTCTAAATGTAACAAACTACATTTACTAGCAATTTTAAAGCTCTTCTTTCAACATTTTTTTATTGTTTATCTGTACAAAAACCAACTGAGATGTGAAATCAAAACCGTTTAACGGATGGTTTGTGCTGCCAGCTAGCTGTTTCCCCATTTCCTATCGTTATGCTCAGCTAAGCTAATCAGCTCTTCAACAAGGTTTATTTTCAATTGAAAAATGGTAAATGGACTTGTATAGCACTTTTCTAGTCTTCTGACTACTCAAAGTGCTTTTACACCGCATGTCATACCGAGCCATTCACACCCATTCACCCATAGAAAGTGTATACGCTTCTTAGTCGAGCACTAGGTGAAAAACTTAGGTCGGTAAAAATGTAAAACTGGCATAAAAGTGTTCTTTCAGGGATACCTTCCAATGCAAAAATCCTGCTTCCCAGAGCATCCACAATGGTCAACAGCGCCACCTCGTCGGACACGTTGAAGAAGTGGTCCTGCAGCGGTTTACTAGATATGGACTCGATCTGCTTGATGAACTTCTGCACATCTTGTGAACTTTTGTTCTGACGATTGTAGTCTCCCAAAACCTGAGAAAAGGATCACTATTTTAAACAGCTGTTCAGTAAACATCCTCTTGATTTAATTCTAATGAAGTTTATAATCTTGTTACTAAATTATCAAACTCCAGTTGATTTACTGGTTGGCTGATTTAATATTTATAAAAGCGCCACAGTCAACAGAGACAGTAAAATACCCTCTTCATGAATAATGAGTTGGAATTTTTTGGTGGGAGGTGTTAGCACGAGTTGTAAATAAAAAACGTAAGCTTTCTCTCAGAGCAAAGAAGAGAAGCAATATTTTAGGGAATCTATAAATACAATAAAATTGTAGTTTCCACTCACAGCAATGCCGAACCTCTCGATGCCATCTGCCTCACATTCTTTCATGACCCTGTCGAGTTCATGAGAATCATGTGCATCTCCGTCAGTCACAACCACCATGACTTTCTTTACCCCAGGACGTGCTCCACGCTCCAGCGTGAAGGCCTCCCTCCTGGTTGCAAGAAAAATTTGGTCATAGAACAAAACTTCTTAAACCTGGCCTTAATATGTCTTAAACTGTAGTTTTACCCAAAGCTCTAAATAAGACAAAGACTATAAAAAGAGAAATCAATGTAAGTACCTGGCTGTTTCAATGGCCAGTAAGGTCATGGTCTTGTAGCCTGTCTGCTGAGGAAGTTCTTCAACGAATTCCAGCAGATCAGGAGTTTTGTCAAACTGGCTCAGGTTGACACGGTGAGTCACATTCTCACCATAAGACACTATGCCCACCTAGAAGTCACACAAACACACATTTTTCCTGTAAAACATTTATTTTTCCTTTTCTCTCCTATTAGGTTCTTCTGTTCTCTGCGTCTCCTCCTCGACGGTCTGCTGAGGATGTGGTTGGGTTTGTTGGGGTCGAAGTGACACAATGTTCTTTATACAGAAGGAAGAGGACTATAGCAGCCATGGAAGATGTGACTTTACAACCACGTGGCTCTACTGTAAGAAGACTTTCCAGTGTTTCCCTCTGGAAAACTCCACAAGCACCACGCCAGATCGATGTAACCATAATAAAAACTAACCACCAACTGGAGGAGCGATCCAAGACATGTGGACAGAAATAAACTCAAGGTATAACTCACTAAGGCAAAGGCTAAAATTATTTTAAAGACTAAAACGGATACGCCTCATAAAGTCTGCCTTATGAACGACATCTAACAGTTATTCTCCAGGCTGGCACAATGGCATTAAATAAAAACAATTTGAACAATTTAGTTGGCAGCGATTGAATGACCCCATTCATCCTTGTTCTTAGTCAGTCAAATCTTATTTAACTGAATACACAATGTATTTATACATTTATAGAAACAAGAGTTATTTCTACACAGGAATCAACATTATGAAAAAGGATTGAATCATTACAAAAAATGCTTGTGCCACTGACCTGGGACAGTTTTGGCCCAATCTCAATTTTTTCGAGGAAACGAAGCAGAAACTGGGTGATACTAGGCCAGGGGAAGATGCTGTTAGATCCATCCAGAACAATCACGATGTCCATCTCCTTCCCACACTCTGGAACAAAACAAGGAATTACAACATGGTACATTGTGACTTCTAATTTCCATGCATGCAGTTACAGGAGGAGTTGTTAGCTTATTGGCTGTTAGCTTGGGACCGTTAGCCAATTGTCTTATAACCTGAGTGGGCGTTACCTGAGCGGCCGTTAGCTGAGCGACCGTTAGCTGAGCGGCCGTTAGCTGTGCGACAGCTTATGTTATCTGAACAGCTGCTAATGTTAGCTGAGCGGCTTAGCTCCTATTGTTGTTAGGCGGGTAGCTTGTAATTGTTTTGGAGGTAAGGTTACCTGCAGTATAATGCGCTAAGTTACTTAAAATTATATGAATTATGATTCATTGCATAAATACAGTTTTATAAGAATCTGTTAGTAAATAATTCATAAGTATCTGTTTTTAACTCACTCGGTTTCTACCATGTTAAAGTAAAAAAAATGTGTATTTGGAAGTCATTAATAGTGTGAGAATTTTCTTTTTTTTCTAAGTAATTTTAACATGATGATGTGTTTGTGTTTGGTCAATGAATGGCAGAGCAAGTTTTCCTAAAGGAACCAAAGCTGAACAGATAATGACTGCAGCCTGTTTACCCGCCGGTTCTTTGTAGGCTGTCCTGGGAAACAGAGTGCAGGACCAGTAAACTGTCTCCTAACTTGGGCATGCAACACAGTGGAAGGGCTGGGCTGGGCTGGGCCAGGGAGGAATGAGGGTCGCAGACAAGTTTACATTAAGAAGAATGCTCTAATCTCCTTTTTAACTGAGGGAGGGTGTGTTTGATGTCAAGATCTTGGGTGGCTCTACTGAGAGGAGAGGATTATGATCTCTTATCCTGACAGAAATTTGTGTAGATGCCGTCACATCCTGTGTTTTGTGTTGTCAGGCTGCGTACCTTGCACCGCCGGAGCCACAGAGTTGAGGATCTGGAAGGAAGAGCTGACATTCGCACAAACTCCTGAGATGTACTGCTGCTGCCCGCACATGTAGCCATACTGAGGACCACAGGCCTACGGAGACAAGACACACACACACACCAAACACATGTAAATAGACTGGGACTAGTTGCTAAAGAAAGAGTCAAACAGAAAGGCTGTGACTGGTTAGCTTTCCACCAGTATGACATCATGGGTAAGAGGAGGTTCAGAGCTACTGAAAGGAAAGAACTACTCAAACTGGGATAAAGCAGATATTAATAAAAGCCACCACAGAGCCCTTCTGACCGTACTTCTCCAGAGAAAAAGAGAGGAGAGGGAACCTTGGAAATTCAGCTTGGAACGGATGAAAGACTTTCAAATTATCTATAATATCTGGAAAACATCTTTTAATCTTTCATGCATTTATCTATGTATTTTCTGCAAGCTCCACAAACTCAGTGCATTCCTTACATTCAGTGAGAGCTAATACTTGATATAGCTGTACAAGAACAACACTAATCTTTGCCTGTTAGCTATCTTAGCATAAACCCTTTTGTCTGCTTGCCTGTTCTGTTGAATTTATAGATTTTTATTTTTTATCCTCATGTCTGTACTTGATTCGCTGTGGCTCAGTTGGTAGAGTCCTCATCTCTCAATCAGAAGATTGAGGGTTCAATCCCCAGCTCCAGCAACATGTCCAATGAGCAAAACACTTTGAACATTAACCCTATAGCAACCACTTCATCAGTGTGTGAATGGATAGGTTTGACATGCGGTGTAAAAAGCACTTGAGTAGTCAGAACACTAGAAAAATGCAATTTACCATTGCAAATGCTGCTGACTCACCGTTCATGCTGCCATGTTTTTGCCAACTTATTTATCTAATTTTTATTCAAATAATTGTACTTATTCAATCTCAATCAAAATAGTGATTTTTTAGCTGTTGTTTAGTTTTTGGGGTAAAGTAATAACATAATGTTTCCTTAACTCTGATGGGTTTTGCATTACAGCGTGTTATTAAAGAGTTTTTGGGCTGGCTCCAGTTTCACTAACAGCTTTAACAGATTTATCCTCACAGTTAAACTTCGGACTATATTTACTTGTGCCAATCATCAAGTTGTATAAATATCTATATATTGACCACTAGGGTCTATTATTTATAACACAAACATTCATGTAAAATCGTGTTAAAACAACATTTTACAGGAGGTCATAAACCTATTCGGTTTCACCATCTCCTTCATACATTTCATTGCATTCATATAGTTGATTCGCAGTATCCTGTACATTCCCAGGACATGGAACTGAACTGGGAAACATGGAGGGTCAAGCCCACTCTTCCCACACGGTGCAAAGGTCTAGTGAGAGTATATTTATGCCCCGTTCCTCTTAGAAAAGTATGCAAAGTCCTACTTTTGTATGGTACGGGAAATATTCTACTTTCATATAGAGCAACTTCCATCTTACCAGAAATCCTCCATTGGGATTGGTCACCAGTGTCGTTCCCATGGTCATGTTCTCCTTGACTTCATGCAAGTTGGGAATTGTTGTGTTTTCTTAAAAAAATAAAGGAATAAACAGAGTGAGACAACAAAGAGAGCAGCACAGAGGAAGAACAGCTGGACAAATTCCTCTTCTGTATTTTCCCATAAGACAACAGCCGCTCACCCTACTTCCTTACTTCTGTCCCAAGAAGATTTAATGACAACTTACATAAAGGTTTCTTTAGTTTAACAGATTGTTCCTATGTGTGTACATTTTGGCAATCAATAAAACATACAAAGTATCATGTGTTGTTCATGAACATCCTAGATGCCGTGAGGAAGAAAGAGCGGACACAAAACATTAAGCAATCATAACATGTGGCTAAAATTAGCTTCAACTGTTGCTTCAACTTGGGGAATGTTTTGGATCTGCTCTACTTTTTCTTGCCAAGGGACCCACATATTTCTCACAAACTCATTCACATGTCATTTCAATTTTGAATTGTGCTCTTTACTTATCCTCGAGGGGGCTCTTTGAAATTGAACCATTTCTGATTCTCATTAAAAGCAAGTAATGTCTCTGGCATGTATACTCCCCTTCAATCAGACATATGCACCAGAACTGTTAGTGGTTAGTACTGTGATGTGATGACATTTAATAACCTAAGTTGAATTGTATTCCTCATCTCGGTGAATATGAAATTCTGCTTTCTTCTAATATCCCATACATTCAAAAGAGGAAACACAGAGCCAAAACGTTTAGGTATTACATCACATTAATAATAAGCATGTGTTAATAAGTAAACTGGCTTATATAAGCTGAATGGGAAGCTTTTAAAATTATTAACAGGAATTTATATAAATAGTATTGATAATAGCATCGGCTAACAATACTGTAAATAATGGCATTAGTAAACCCTTGAGAAGATTTTGGTGCAGTGGTTCTCAACTGGTTTAGCCTCAGGACCCACCACCAACTCCTTTTGACCCAAATTTCTGAAATTTTTCAACCAGTCAGATTCATTTATTGAAAGATGATGCCATTTGGACCTCAAGACGTTTCGAAACGACTCTATCCACTGTCCTATCTTTAAATAAAGGCTAAACAAACCCCAAAAAATAAATATTTATGAAAACTTCTGTTTTTGATCTAGAAGTAAGCACATGTCAATGTTATAAGCAACTTTAAAGGACCTATAAAGGAGAATTAACTTATTTATTGACCTAGATTATAGAGACCTTAATATGTAGTGTTTCTCATTGTTTTAAAGTAAAAGTTTCTTATCCAAATGAGTGAGATGGACTGAGATCTAACACCTCATGATGTGTCCACGTGGGGCTGAGAGCATTTTTGAGGAGCAGTAGAGGACAATACACACTTTGTCCTCAGTGAACCGTGAACTTCTGATAACTATCAGAACAAATCACACATATCACACAGTCCTTCTTGGTTTGAAGTGACCTCTTGGAAAAAAGCGATATTCTGATCAAATGTCATTTATAATGCAGCTTCTGCTCAAATATTTCATCATTATAACAAGTTATTCACTTGTGTGTGGCTAGAAAATGTAATGTTTGGGTTTTACAGGAAAGTTATGTGTCAATTTAACCAGGGTGAATTGGACTGGATTTAATAATCATTTCATTTCAGCTTATCAAATAATGCTCCTCAAAGTCAAAATCATTAGCTGTGCCAAGGATGTGTTTTGGTGCTGTTTGATGTTTAGCAGCAGGATTACACAAATATTTATACCGCCTTCAATGTTTTTATGAAGCTTAATGAAAGAGTGAAGTAAAGACCCGTGTTACGCCCCACCATAAGGCGGCTCTATGGGGCTAACAACAACCAACAAGTTGACCCAATAATGCACATTAAGCACCTTAACAAAGGCAAAACAAAAGAACTAAATGATTAACAAAAGTCAACAAAGGATTAAGCAACAAGACAACTAACAAAATCCCTTTCTGAGAGACACCACACAGCAGTCCTCACTCCAAACACCTCCCTCCTCTTGAAGCCGGCACTGGGCCTTTAAGCACTGAAGCAAGGTGCACTTCATAAAGTAATCAGTATCTTCACCTGGGATCTGGAAACAACAGAAGGGGAAAGGGACAAACGGCACAGGGAAACATACTGCTGTAACAACCAAGAAAGGACTTCTTCAAGACAAGAATAAATGTTGACCAAATGGTAACATAGAAAGTTTTAATAATCAATGTACTCACAAAAAAGTCTCCTTGGAAAACTGACATTTTTATGACAAACCGCTATATCTGTGTTATTTCAATCTTTTTTTATATTTGTATTTGATTGTAAGTGTTCTGCTTTACACAAATGCATATTCAGCAAACTGTTTGGACTAGCAGCCTTTCACACTCTCCAGTTCCCCTTCAGCTTGTTTGTGTGTGTGTGTGTGTGTGTGTGTGTGTGTGTGTGTGTTTTTAAGTTGTTATTTCACAGTTATAAATGCAGCAACTAAGTTGAAATTGGATATTTTTGCAGCAATATATCTATTTTCCAAACAGAACATAAACATATCACAGTTCTATTCTGCAGACATCAACACAAATCATTGTTTTTGGGACTCGTTCCAGTACGGCCCAACCACTTTCCAATTTAACTGGTTTGACAGAAAAGTGATTAAAAATTACAACATAACCACACAAATTTATCTTACTCATTATGGTTTGGCAGATTCTTTCTTTGGCTGGAACAGTCTGAAACCAGAGCGGAGACATGTCTGGCAGTGTGACTTATGGGGGCATAGATAAAAATCTACTTTGTAGGCATCAGGCTAATGTGACTGACAACCCATCGACCATACTCACATGGCTGTAATTAGCCAACAATAATGTTAAGCAAGAGGTTATCCTGGTATCCCTCATGATTGATCAAATATGATGTACTTTTCTGACCAAATGTGTTGTGTATTATGCCTTTACTATCACAGCTTCACTTCACAACACTAGAAGGACATGTTAGCATCTAGCCGCTTCGAAGCAAACAGTAAAATTACGGTAACTTACAAGTGGCTAAATGCTAACAATATCTGATTTATGGAAGCTATCAAATATGTTGGTTTTACAAAGTTAAATCATACTTTACAACACTTAAGTGAGGTAATGTTAGCATTCAGACATTTCCAGGCTAACTGTAATAGATATGTTTTAATGATTATGTTAGCTGTTTCATGAAAGCTAGTTATCAAATATGTTTTTTGGGTTTGAAATATTGCCAAATATGTTTGTTTTTTCTTTGTTGACTATCAAATCTCCACAACACTAGGAGGAAATGTTAGCATCAAGCCACTTCCAGGCTAACGTTAATATTACAGTAACTAAAAAGTGGCTAATAATGTTAACAATATCTGTTTATGGAGGCTATCAAAAATTAAATTGTACTTAACATCACTTTAGAGACGTAATGTTAGAATTCAGACACTTCCAGGCTAACTGTAATGTTAGCAAGGATATGTTTTAACCATTATGTTAGCTGTTTCATGAAATGCTAGTTATCAAATGTGTTTTTTGGGTTTGAAAATATAGCCAAATATGTTGTTTTATACGTTATGTAAATAGAGAGCACAGTTCAACGAAGCCAAATTCCTCATGTCAGCATACCTGGACATGAAACAGATTCTGATTCTTCTGATTCTGGTTGTCAGAAGAAAGTGGCTAACATCCATTTGTTTAATGAAACAATCAACATGAACCCTTACTGATGGGCTGTCCCTGAATCTTGTCCCTTGACGTATTGTGGTGCACTCAAGAGCATAATTTTAAATAGCCACAAAACAATGTTCAATGGATAGATCCGATGTAAAAAAAAAAACTAAGTCATGAAGTTCCTGCTTCACTTTGACGTTTGAAAACGGCACTTTAATGTTATCTTTATGTAAACCACTCCTGGTTGTTTGCTGAGTGGTCTGGCTCCGGCTGCCAGCCTCAATCGATTCCCAGTGGATGTTTTCCAGACCAAACTTGAGTTTGTGAGATTAAGCTTTTTGCCTGTCGAACTCATTCAAGATAAAAGCAAATACAGCACTCTCCCCTGGTAAATGGGGGAGTATCGTTTCCAGCCATGTCTGAAAATTATCAGCACTTACTGTAAAGCTAATAATTTACCCACAGTAGGTGAACTATGACTCCTGCTTCTTGGTAATTCTGAGGTGTGAACAGCTGTGTTGAAAAGTCTAAATCCTTGAGCTGAGAGTTGGTTTTAAGATCTACTGGTTCTCATAGTCCTGTGTCGAAACACAGAAAAACACAGGATTAGCAGACTGCTGACTGGGAGCCAAGTTGTGTTTATCTCTTTAATGAAGATATAATTGGATAGATGAAACATTAAAACTTTGTTTATTTACTGTCTTCATTCAGATGGGGCTCACTTCCTTCCTAAGAGACCCTATCAGATATACAGTATAGGCTTAAACACAGAAACATCAACAAAAGAGTATGTATGTATTTTTTCAAATTCTGGTGTATTGTAAGGGTTATTTTCTTGATAATTGATTTGTTTAGTTTGTTAAAAATTATAGTTATAATATCAAGAAGACAAAGGTGACAGATGATAAATATAAATAAATATAAAAAGTTAAAATAAACGGTAATTGGAAATGAAGTCAGATGAAACCCCCACCCACACAAACAGATCCCCTCATATCGGGTCTGGGGGTTGTTCAACATGGATGAGAGGTCGGCAGGAGGTGACCCCATTAGCCGGTCCCACCTCCGCAAGGTCTGGGGTCGACTAAGGTAGTAGCACCCAAAAATCTGCAAAGATTAGTTTTTCTTTCTTTTGCTTAATTACTTGATTAATTTTGTCTATGTATTATGAATTTATCTAGCCAAATCTTCTCTTCAATTTTACACACACACACACACACACACACACACACACACACACACACACACACACACACACACACACACACACACACACACACACACACACACACACACACGGCACAATATTCTTACTTGGTAGCTCCAGTTTGACACATGTGTTGTTGCCCGTCCCCACAGGACACTTGTAGACGTCTCCTGTCCGTTTAGCTGGCTGGCCCGACAGCGGCGAGCCAATCAGAACCCTGAATCAACAAAGAACAGACGGGATTGATCGGTTAGACTTCCTGCCAACAACCACAAAACAGCGTTAAACATTGGCAAGTAAGAACTTTCGTTAAATTCCCAACAATTTAGATTGGCCTAAATTATACTAATGAAGTTGAACCGCACATAAACAGAATGTTTCTGATTGGCTAATAAATCTGTTATGGTTTATAATAATGGGCTTGTGAATATGTGGCCAGTATTACTTTATTATCACCTTTAAACAATTGTTTAAATTTGAAAAAGGAAATAGCCCACAATGAAAAAAACCCTCAATCATTATCTCATTATTATTACATAACATTTTGCAGATGTTGCAGAACTTCAGTGTGTGTGTGTGTGTGTGTGTGTGTGTGTGTGTGTGTGTGTGTGTGTGTGTGTGTGTGTGTGCAGTCAGTGCTCTCTGAACGCCTGTGTAGCACACACATTCATATCCATGTGTGTGAGTAATAACATCATGTCACTGCATCAGTACATTGGAGCTAAAAACAGTCAGTCATCTGCTTTCCTGCAAACACTCAGGCTTATTAACATTCCTGCGCTCTAATGGACCCTGGTCATCTGAAGTGAGACACTGAGTGGAACAACAACAACACACTCTCTCTGCTCGGCCCACACTCTGCTGCCTGTGGGAAAACATACTACATTATTGATTGTTTTATAATAACATGAAGGAGCTTATTCTTTTAATAGATCTACATTTGACTGGAGATGATTAAAGCATTTAATAAAGGCGTTTTAATGTGTGGTTTCTGGCCTGTGTTAGCCTCACTGTTTGCATCACCGCTAAAAGGTAAACTCAAGACATTAAGAAAATTCCTCATCCAAGCTATAAGACTCTGACAGGCTTTATTTGATTGGGGAGTTGACCTTTTCTTTTCAAGGTAAATGGTGTTAATATCAATTTTAGCAAATCTAAAAGTTTTGTGGTTTCATCATGTGTAGAATTAGAAATTAATGGGAGTGGAAATTAAGGGGAGTAGCTTAATGGCAGGAAGTGAAATTTGAGCTCAGCGGTAAAAATGTAATTTTCTTTAAAACGAATTTACTGGATCTGTTTAAACAAAACTAATTTCAAAAGAATCCAAGCAATTGTGTAAGTAACATCGCTACATCTCATCATTTCTATACTTACAAGCAAAGATTTGTTTATGGAGGGATATTTTGTGCAGCGTAGTTAGCCAGGTCAACAACAAGTGGCAGTTCCTCCGATATGTATGTCAGCAGTCTTGAGAGACGAGGTTAAAATGTATGGGCAGACAAAAGATTTACATCTGATCCCTCTCTGCCAAATGTACCACATTTTCTCCATGCAGTTTATCCACTTTTCATCGCTGCTGAGGTGCACTGAGGAGCTAAAGGGCGGAGGTCAGGAGGAGACATCTGTAACTCGTCAGTCACCTCTCCGTTAGAGCAACCTGCTTTTCAACATCACCTCCTGATCCACATCTTTTTTTTTTCCCCCCAAAGTACTCTCCTTCTCAGGGCAACATATCATCTCTAATTTTATTGCACTCCTCCTTAATTCCTTGAAACATCCTCCAACATTCTGCTTCAACATTTTTCTATCCTGTTTTATTTCTTTCATCTTTTCTAGCTCACTCCTCTGATATCTGATGTTCCCCCTCTGCTCTCTGTCTGCTCTGCCCGTGTCGTTCCTCAGGTTTAACTTCTTTAATCTGGCTCTTATCGCTCTGATCTCTTTGGTTTTCTCTCAACGGGAACAAAATCGTGCTATCAGGAGAAGCAACAGAGCTAAAGTGTTTTCAGGGAACATTTTAAACGCTCGGTAACAGCTGGTTCCACTGATTAGCGCTGAGTGAGTTATTGTAACTGATCTCATACGAGCTTGATAAGAGAATTACTGCGCCAGGTACAGATGGGTGAGAAGGTATCAGCTGTGTTGTCACAACAGGTCAGAGGGAAATAAATGAAGAAATTAGGACTGGAGAAACTGAAGGAGCGATGTAGAGATAAGACGATGGGACACATCATCTTAACCGCACTCTTAGCTTTTAACAAGGTTTTAAAATTCAGCTCCCAGACAGTCGTAGCGAGGCGTCACAGATGCTTGGTCTCAGTGTATTTACTGGCTGGGTGTGTGGATTCTCTGGTGGGCAGTTTACGGTTAACAGCAGGAGTTGTAAAGATCCTCATTACAGCAGCAGCTGCTGTGCTCTCCTTCACAATTTTAGTCATAGGGCTTTTGGCTTGTTGATGTTGTGGATTTCAATTAAATGAAACTAACAACAGCTTTTTAGTGTTCTTTCTCTCTTAAATAACACTTTTCTTATAAGTAATTAATCATTTTTCAGACAACTTTATGGAGCTCTTATTGTTGCAAAACAATTAACAAATGCTTAAATTGATGTACAAATGCATCACACATGTACATGTACTTTTAAATGTGTACATAATTATGAATAGCTGAAAACAAGAAGACAGTCACAGTTTACCAACAATAAAATCTCCATATCCCATAATCTTGTTTGACAGACACCTACATCTGCAAACAAAGGTTCCCTCTCAACAAGGAAAAAACGTTGACCAAATCTTCAGAAAACAAAAACATAACATTGTAACTGTTGTTCGTTTACCTCCGCCATCATCATGCAAATATGACGACTTGGTCATATGCATCATTTGACATATCTCTCATACTGTTTGGTGCTTTTAAATCACTGCAGAGTAGAGACATGACGAGCAACAGTATTTATAGAGTTCCTGTCAAATTGAATAAACAGAATTGAATTTACAGCAATGTTTCAGTGCCTAACCAATTGATGTGTGCCACTTAATTGTGTGTGAATAAATTCTGCATGTGAATTAGTAATAAAATATGAAATTTTTGTCAGCAAGCTTACCAGATTTTATAAGTTATTAGTGCTTACTTGACTGTTTAATTCTGAAACTTTAATAAAACATCACCTATACATTTTTGTTAACATGAATGTAGGGCTCTGGTGCCAAACTGACACTGGAGTCGTGTCTAGATCGTCATATTTTACAGCTAAGCATGCTGTTTTATTTAACAAGCTCTATTCTGACATCATGTTAAGTTGCCATCATAGGATGTCTGAAAAAAGGACTTGAGTTTAAAAGAGGAGAAAATGAGGTAGTGGTGAAAGACGATAACTTTAAAGACAGCCACAATGAACTGTTGTTAATGACACTCACCATTTCCCCTCGCTGTTCTCAAACTGCTGGACAGTGTAACCAAACATGTCCTCCAAAGGGCCGTTGAACGACAAACCATTTTTCTGGTCCACGTTGAAGGACAAGGCACAGGCCAGCAGCGCTGCAGGGACAGACAAGGTTTTGAAGAACTGTTGTTTACTTCTCCAATGTGAGCACAGATCAAATTACTTTATTTAATAATGAATAATCAAATCATGACAGACTTGTGTATATTCTTTCTTTCCCAATAAGTAGAAAGTTCATTAACAAACATTCTCAATAAATACTGTGGTGATAAATATCAAAACAAAACCAGGATTTAATCAAATAAACTATTGACATTTTGACTATTATGCTACAACATTTATTGGGGCATTTGATACGATACAAATTATGATACAAGGGTAATTATGACGTAAAATCATATTATCTTTGCAATACTTTTAACAAGGTGACATTTTAAGATAGTTCATAAATCTGATTTTAGGAGAGCTGTCAGAGTAGATAGAACAACACACCTCATGCATAAATCTGCATTTGGATTCATCACATTTTCTGTTACATCCAACATTACAACAACATTTCCAACAAGTAACATTTTTTGTAGCCTAACTATAGGAAATGAAAGGTTATCACATAGTTATTTAAGACTAAATACAGTATATAAAATATAATTCCACAATACGCAATTTATCAAAGTTTTTTTAATTCTCTTAATATTTATATAATTCTAAGGAAAGCAAAAGAATATTTATGTACTGTATATAAAGATGGAAGACTAAGATAAAACATGAACTGTGTGAACTATATCACACCCACACACACACACACACACACGCACAGAGTGATTTTGGAGATCACTGGAGGAATTTCAGACATAACTGTGAAGCACTTTGGTCAGAGTCCAGTCTGACCTGCTGTACAATGACTTCTTCTCTGCACTGTGCGCAGTCTGCGCCCGTCTGTCACTGAGCTGAGTATATATCACAGAGGCTCTATATAAATCCATCCATGTCTCATTGTGCTGTTACTACAATGACACTCTTTATATCTACTGAGCCAGGGAATTCTTCCTGTATAATTTATTCAATTCCCTGACTTGTGAGGGAGTGCAGAGGAGTCAAAGTCCAACAGTGATTAAAAAAGATTGTGCAGAAACAGACCACACATACATGGAGAAACAAATAAAAAGCAGCTATTTGGTCTTTCATGATAATCCTTTGTAGCTGATGTGTCTGGTCCGACCCAACACAAAAGACAACTACCATATGGAGTCTGGACCGCACTGCCAAAGTGATGTTAGACTTCTTAGCCACGCTACTGTTGGAGTTTCAAAGAATCATGGTACAGTCAGTCTGTGCACAACTGTGGTCCAGTCTGAAATATGTTCAACACATATTACACAGAAAGTCTTTCAACTTTGCCCATTTACATTTATGTTCCACAGAGACCGTCACAGTGACATTTGTGGGTTTTGAATTAAATGTTCTGACAACTGTTTGATGCAAATATTCATGTTCCCCAAGTACTAAATGTAGTAGCTTTAGCGATCCTCTAACTTTTAATGCCGCACCATCATTGAATCAAAATGTGTCTAGTAATTTTGGTTATGGCCTAATGCCTGTAAAAAAAAATTTCCTATGCTGTCAGTCGCTGTCTTCCATGTGTTGCAGCTTGTCAGCTTTGTGTGTTACTGTAAAGACTAATGTAGCGTAATGTAGCGTAACGTAACGTAAAATAACATAACGAATAGTGTAACGTAACAACACAGCGTAATGTAATGTAACATAACGTAACGTAACGTAACATAACGTAACGTAACATAACGTAACGTAACGTAACGTAACGTAACGTAACGTAACATAACGTAACATAACGTAACATAACTTAACGTAACATAACGAATAGCGTAATGTAACAACACAACGTAATGTAATGTAACATAACGTAACGTAACATAACGTAACATAACGTAACGTAACGTAACGTAACGTAACGTAACGTAACGTAACGTAACGTAACGTAACGTAACGTAACGTAACATAACTTAACGTAACATAACTTAACGTAACATAACGAATAGTGTAACGTAACAAAATAGCGCAACGTAGCGTAACGTAACATAACGTAACAACGTAGCGTAGCATAGTGTAATGTGTCATACCGCGACATAACGCATGATGTCATATCGTATCATACTATAATGTACAATTTTTTTCACATTTTTCAAAAAATATTAGCCTATCTCTCCTAAATGTAAAAGTGACCAGTTGTGAAAGAATGAAAAATTAAGAGTCTCTAATTATTTAGACGGCTCAATCCAGACTCCATCCTATGTGACACCATACAATGATACATGATATACAATGATACATGTGCGCTGTTGAACATGTGGGGTAGTTTCTTGTGAATGTTAGAAGTACAAACAGGGATCAGTGCACATATATGTGGACCATAACTCAGAGAGGATGAGATGCATGAATTACATCCAATTAGGTCTGTTAGCAGCCCCTCTCACTGCAATCTTATAAACACAGGACTTGTGAAAACATACTGCTGCCAGTCATCATTCTGCTGTGTTTAAAAGTTGATCACACATAAGATTATGCTCTTTACATTCCCCTCGGGTAGAGAGAGATATACAGAGAAACAGCGAGGGAGAGAGAAGCAGACCTGCAGAGTCATACAGTGGAATCCCAGCCAAGAAATATTATCTCCCCTGTTTCTCCCTAGCTCATTTCTCTACTTCCTCTGTTACCCCTCTCCATCTCTCAGAGAATCTCCATTTCCTGTTCTATTAACCTGATTATACACATCCCCTTAAATCCAAAAGTACACATACAAACGCACACATGCACGCACACACGCATGCAAGTACACCCACACACACACACACACACACAGCTAATTTAGCTGATTTAAGATGGCCCCAGGCCAACCAGACCTTTTCCATTTATCACAGCCTGAGCTCAAGTACATTTCTGAGTCACGCCGGCCTGAGCTGTAAATTACACTGGGACCTCCTCTGTCTATTTGCCAACCCAGATTTTTGTATACCAATCTCTTTTTGCTTTATTTGACGTCTCCTGATTCTGCTCAAATCAAAACCAGTGTGTTATGTAAGGGCCTATTTCCATGAGCTGGGCTAACATCTGCCCTGGAAAACCAATAACTGGACTTCATCCTTTGCGGATGGAAACAGCCTCATGAGCCTCTGAGGTACTGGCATATAAATCTGTCCATCACTGTCTAGAGGGGTTCATATTGCACTTCATTACACATAGTAAGAAGAGGCGAGCAGAGGGAGTGGCAAAGCTCAAAGTTACCACTTTGATCCACATTGAAACATAAGCCAAAAACCATTACGGATTTACAGGAGATCTTTACAACACATTCATGTTCAAGATCTATGTAAATAAGAAGTGAAGGGAGCTTGTTGGTTTCAAAAGGGTATGCAATGTGGGAATGCATTAAACCTGCATTATTTAGGATGGCCAGCAGGGGGCGGCTCGAAGATGACTAGATGAAAAGACGGCTACACTTTTTTATCACAAACCAGCAGGTGACTTGGTAAAGTCGACTTTCAACTCAAATGTTTTGTTATGTCCAATAATATCATTCACGACAATTCATTTGCAAAATAATTACATTATTTTCAGGTTAGCGCTACCATGTGTTAGCTAGTTAAGTTAGCAGCTAACATGCTGTACAAAGAAGGTCAAAATCATCTCAGCTAAATTTCAGCATCTAGGCATTGTAGATGTGAGCATCTTACTATGGTAATATTTGCAATGAAATGATGGCCGTAGCTCTCGTTTCAACAAAAATGGGTGAATTACAGATACAACAGTGTAATAATGTAACTATCACGCAAGAAAAAAATCAAATTTCTGCTTTCCAGAAATGTTTAATTTGATTTGTCTTAAATATCCCAGCCAACATGAGACTACAATGACAAACCACTGAGTCTGTGTTTGGTCAAGCTCCATGTGGACCTGATTGACCCTGGCAGTCTGTCAGCCACACTAAACCACAATAAATCGCTGAGCTACAGCTATCAAAACCAAAACGACTCCATTTCAGTATTTAACCATTTTGCAAGACATCAAAACCAAGTAGCATAAGTCAGGTCTGTTTGATACAGGCAGACCAGCAAGCAGCACAGATCAGCACCTGTTGGCCTGTAAGACATCAAACCAGCTATAAAAATGACCCCAAGTCAGCACCTGTAGGCTTCAAAGCCTCGTTCAGCAAAAGTAACAACACACCCAACTGGCAACTGCTCATCTGTAACATACCTAACCAGCTATAATCAGCTTTAACGCTTAACACAAATCAGCACCTGTGTGCAACAAAGTCATCAAGTACCTGAAACTCAACCATTAAGAAGTTGAAGCATGTGTGAAGCTGATCCAAGACAGATGGTTAAAACAAATGCTCTAATATTAAACTAAGCATGGGTAGTAGCTCAGAAGAAAACGTTAATGCACATCAGTTGGAGGAAAAAGAAAGAATGGTGGACTGATGTTTGAACTTTCAAAGGAAAGGGGGCTTTGGGTGGGACCTTCATGCGCTGTGCTTGTGTTTTTTTTCTTTTTTTGGAAAGAGCTTGATATACTAACATGGCCGCAGGCAGCTCAGAGTTATAAACTGAAACAAGCTCTGTATTTCCTCCTCTGTTCTTTTAACTTCATCTGTTTCAATTTTCTTCTTCAAATCCGCCTCTGTCTAATCTTCAGCCTCCTCTTCTTCTTCTTTTTGTGCTCCAACAGTATAAACACTCTTCTCTCTAATCATTTTAGGAATGGTCAGTCACGAGCTGATCTTTAAAAGGCTGAAAGATTTGAGCTCCATTGACTTTGACTTAATTTTCTAATTTGGCCGTCTGCTCAGTCGCTGCCTATTTCTTGGCAAAGGTGCAGCATGTGGGCGTGCAGCAGACACAAGAGGTCATGAATGTAGGCGCGTTTGTGTTTATATATGCAGAGGGGAACACAAGAGACCAAATTCTTTTGAATTCTAGTGATATTGTCGTTAAGAGGAGGAAGATATGGATACATAAAAACCAACTGCAGCATGATTAAAAACAAGAATATGGATGTACAGCCAAGGTAAAGAGGT